CCTCTATCATTCCGACCTGTTTTTTCCCCCACTGGCAATTGCGGTTCCAACGGGACAGGGAACGTCTCGTCAACCGCTGGCGGGATTGGCACCAGAATGAATTCGAGGAGAAACTTGACGACGTCCTCAAGAGGATCAGCGACAACGGACCGGTGACATCTGCAACTGTCGGAGAAGATGAAAAACGCAGTTCCGGTGGCTGGTGGGAATGGCATCCGTCCAAGACGGCACTGGAGTTTCTCTGGCGTACGGGAGAATTGTCGGTTTGCCGCCGTAACGGCTTTCAGAAGGTATACGACCTGACCGAACGGGTGATCCCGGAAGCGCACAGGTCTCACCGCCCTGCTCCGGAGGAAACAATTGACTGGGCAGCGCGTTCCGCGCTCGAGCGGCTTGGTTTTGCGACCTCTGGCGAGATTGCCGCGTTTTGGGATCTGATCACACCCCGGGAAGCAAAAACCTGGTGTCAGGATGCATTGCATAACGGGCAGCTCGTCGAAGCCGAGATCGAGTCTGACGAGGGTTCATTCCGGCGAGTCTTCATGTTTGCAGATACGCTTGGCGATCTTGACGACACACCCGACCCACCGCCCAGGGTTCGTATCCTGTCGCCCTTCGATCCGGCCTTGCGGGATCGCAAGCGCGCCGAAAGGTTGTTCGGTTTCTCGTACCGGATCGAGATCTTTGTTCCCGAACCCAAGCGGCAGTACGGTTACTATGTGTTTCCCGTGATGGAAGGAGACCGGCTTATCGGCCGCATCGACATGAAATCATTCCGGGACGATGGCTGTCTTCAGGTTCGTGCCTTCTGGCCGGAACGCGGCGTTCGAACCAGCAAGGGACGCCTCGCCCGATTGGAAGCGGAACTCAACCGAATGGCCAGGTTCAGCGACTGCTCGAAGATCAGCTTTGACAAAGACTGGCTGCGCCAAAGCACGCACTCGCAGGCGTAGAAGAGCTCGCATTTGTGTTTAGGGCGTGTACTCATAAACGGGTGAGCGCCGATGACCGCTTTCGGCGGAACCTCCAAAGCAGATCAACAGAGCACGTGGGTCAGCATTGCGGACAAAGTGTGAATTCGCTACGGCTGCACCAACGTTTGGTCTAGGTTTGTTGCTCATGTCAGGCTTCACCCGTTCTTCCCAACTATCGCCCTTGCTGCGGCGGCAATATCTTGCGTCTCTCGAAGAACCTCAAGAATGGTTCCTCGAAGAGCTCGTTGGCTTGGGACAGGTTTGGACGCATGAGGACGGGTCATATGGCGTCACAAATGAAAAGACTCTAGTTGAGTTTTTCAGCGCTGATCCAACAAACGCAGAAAAGCTGCTGCATGATTTCTGGGGTCAGCACTGCTTCTCGAAGGCGCTCGTCAAGTCATATGATTATGACTTCGTGCGATCTTGCGAAAATCTTGGATGGACATCATCTGTCGGAGGTTTTCTCTTCAGGAAGCGAAAACCACGTGGTCAAGCAGCCTTTGACGGTGCAGAAATACGCTCCACAACGCCTACCGATGTGCATGTAATTTGGCAGATCAACGATAACTTCTTTGACAACGAAGACGAAGTCGCAAATTTAGCCGTTTCAAACAAGCTTTGGACAGTCACAGTAGACGGAGAAATCGCCGGTTGTGGCGTATCCAATCGCGTCATAAAAAAAGCGACGCAGTGGATGTCGGTATGATGGTCGCTTCAAAATTCCGTCGGAGAGGGCTGGGAACCTACATCGTGAGCGAAATTGCCGACAGAATTGAGAGAGAGGGTTTACGCCCAATTTGCGGATGTGGAGCCAGCAATCTTGCTTCGAAAGCGACGCTTGAGAAAGCAGGTTTCGTATCCGACCATCAACTTCTGTCATTCACTCCATGATGCCCACAGCTAATAAAGCAGACATTCATGCAGCCCGCAGCATCGGTACATGTAGGGCTTTAGGTGGTCGTTCGACCTAGCGGACCATGCCGCAGTGTTTGAGGGCAAGGTAGACATTGACGTTTGGTATCCCGGCGTGATTCAAGCTCCGAAAATGAGCCTTGAACACGAGACACGCCTTTACCGACGCCGAATGGCGGTTGATAGCACCAATCCTTCGTTACAAATCGCAAGGCGTCCCGCGTGTAGATGACAGGCGTGCCCTGAACGGCATTTCCTGGATATCGAGATCGGGAACACCGTGGCGTGATCTGCCTGAGCGCTACGGTCCCTACACCACCTGCTGCAATCGCTTCGTGCGATGGTGTTCCGCAGGCGTTTTGATCCGTTTCCTGCCTGCCATCTCGCATCGGGACGATGCCGAGGTGCAAATTGTCGACAGCACGATAATCCAAGCACGTCAGCACGCAAGTTGCATCCAGAATAGCACCAGCGAAAGCTTTGGATGTTCGCGCAGAGGGCCGACGACCAAAATCCACGAGGTTGTCGATGCGAACGGACCGCCGCTCCAAGTCATGATTACAGGCGGTTAGCAGCATGACAGTCTGATGGCACATGCTCTACTTGAAGGCCTACCGAGCAGCGGAATGGTTCTCGCAGACAAGGCTTACGACGCGACCGAGATAAGAACAATCACGAGTTTGCGTGGAGGCTGGGCGAACATCCCACCGCGCCGGAACCGGCGCGGTCCGATCTGTTTCAATCCCACCTCTACAATCATCGAAACCACGTTGAACGGTTTTTCAACCGGATGAAGCAATGTTGGCGCATCGCTACGCGATATGAGAAACACGCAGCCAACTTCCTTGCCTTTGTCAAGCTCGCTGCCACCCGACTTTGGCTACGCGTTTATGAGTCCGCGGCCTAGGCAGCTCTGACATCGTGTGCCCGTCCAGCACCAACCAGGTGCACGCCCGGGGGCATGCTTAATCAAATCAACACCAATTCGGAGCAGATTAAATTCCTGAAACCGGAGATTGGCAATGCCGCCTGCAGCCAAAAAGACCGCAATCCAATGGCCTAAACTCAGCGGCCCCCACATCTGCATGGGCGCAGGACAGCAGGCCCTTGATCTGGCGCGCAAGGGCCTATTGAGCGCCGCGGAGATGAGAGGCGGAAGTCTCAGCCAAGCCGAGATAGCGACGGTCTTCGAATTCATCGCCGCTTCGCAGAACCTCTTCGACATTTATCGTTCGAATTACGAAGCATGTGGTCAGATACACAAGAAACAACCCTTTGTCGGCGCGAACAAAGACTTCTTTGCAATGTCCGTCTTGCGCTTCCTCTGTTTCGACATCGTCAGGAAGGTTTTCGACAGACAGATCGCGCGAACGGACGATAATTGGGAAATCGAATTTCTGCACGCGTTCAGCCTGTATATCTGTCAAACGAGCAATGCAGGTTTTGTCGAGGATCTTTCTTCCGCCTATCGCCTGCTTGCGAAGGAGCACGGCAATTCAATCACCGCAGTCACGATTGCAAATGACAAGACCATTCGTGAGATCGTTGCCCGCGCGGCCGATGATTTTCCCTCCGATCATACCGACTTCGTGAACTTCTCGAATGCTGTCAACAAAGCGCTTTCCGACAGGTACAACAATTACGGCCCCTCTCCGATCAAGGTGTCGGAACCGCTTGTCGAAATGTTCTTTTCTCAGCTCTGGTCGGATTCCAAACGAAATTACTTCCGCCAGATTGCACTGGACTGACATCGGACTGACTGACTGTCTTGTTGAGACTCAGGAAAGGCAGTTCCGGATCAACTGCCCGGAATTTGATCCGGTTTTCGTAGCCGGAAGTCACGAGGTTGCCGCTGAATGACCGACAGGCAGAATTCGCCCCGGCGACCGACGATCTTCAACTTGCACCGGACTGACAGACTGACGCGTCGCTGTCCGCGCCTCGTGAACCGGTAATATCGGTTCCACGAGGACGAACCTCCGAGGGTTTCCGTCAAAGCGGCCCAAAAGATATCACGTGGAAGTTTCGCTGCCGGCTGCATCAATCATGCCGCAATACCGGGCAACTTTCTTTCTCAGGTCCAGCTCAGGACAACCTTTCCCGCCTCACCCGATTTCATTGCGGCAAAACCGGCTTCAAAATCGTCGACTGCGAAGCGATGGGTGATCACGTTGCGTACATCCAGTCCATTTTGCAGCATCGCAATCATCTTGTACCAGGTCTCGAAGATCTCGCGCCCGTACACCCCCTTGATCGTGATCGCCTTGAAGACAATCCGTGACCAGTCAACGGGCGATTTTCCAGGCGGAATGCCCAACAACGCAATGCGACCGCCCATGACAAGATTTTCGACCATCTGATCGAGCGCAGCCTGACTTCCGGACATTTCCAGCCCGACGTCGAAGCCTTCCCGCATTCCGAGTTTCTGTTCGATTCCCTTCAGATCTTCCCTGGCCACGTTTACCGGCACAACATCGACCACCTTTGCGGCCAGGTCCAGCCGCGCCTGGTTGATGTCGGTGATCACAACGTTGCGCGCGCCAACGTGACGGGCAACGGCAGCCGCCATGATACCGATCGGCCCAGCTCCGGTGACCAGAACATCCTCACCGACAAGATCAAAACTCAGAGCCGTGTGAACCGCGTTTCCGAGCGGATCGAGGATTGCTCCGATTTCATCGTCGATTTCATCTGGCAATGGAACCACGTTGAAGGCAGGCAGACACAGATACTCGGCAAATGCCCCCTGCTCGTTCACACCGATCCCGCGCGTTTCCGGATCGAGATGGAACTTGCCGGCGCGTGACTGGCGGGACTGCTTGCCGATCAGGTGACCTTCTCCCGAACAACGCTGCCCGATCTCGAATTCCGTGACGTTCTTTCCAAGTTCCACGATCTCGCCGGCAAATTCATGACCGGTGATCAGGGGGACAGGCACAGTTTTCGCAGCCCAGTCGTCCCAATTCCAGATATGGATGTCGGTTCCGCAGATACCGGTCTTGTGGATCTTGATCAGAACTTCGTCCGGTCCGATCTCCGGCACCGGTGCCCGGGTCATCCAGAGCCCTTCGCGCGGCTCTAACTTGCTGAGGGCCTTCATCTGGTTGCTCATCATTCGGTCTCCCACAGATCGGTGGAAAGGTATTTCAATCCGCTGTCGCAGATGACGATGGCGACACACCCGCCCTTTTCCGGGCCTTTCAGAAGCTGAACGGCGCCGGCAAGATTTGCTCCGGCAGAGTAGCCCCCGAAGATGCCTTCCATGCGTGCCAGCAGACGGACATGTTTGCGCGCATCCTCGCCGGATACTGACAAATAGCCCGCGAGCGGAACATCGCGCAGGTGGTCGAGGTCGTTCATGGCATAACCGCCTCCCTGGATAGGGTGCTCGGGTGATGTGACCGGCGAACCTGACAGGGCTTCCGCACCGGCCGGTTCCACTGCATAGGAATTCACTCCCTTTTGCGCCAGGAAGCGGGTCACACCCGCCAGGGTGCCACCGGATCCGGCAAAATCACAAAACGCGGTCACCGTCCCTTCCGACTGTGCCCAGATCTCCGGGCCAGTTCCGGTCTCATGCGCTTCCGGGTTGCCGAAATGACCGAACTGATCGGCCCTGAAGGCGTTGCGTTCGGCGGTTATCTCTTTTGCAATCTCATCCACCAACGCCAGATCCGCACCGGAAACTTCACCCGGACGGCTGTTTTCCGACTGTGGAACGATGACGACTTCAGCCCCGAGAGCTCGCATCATCTTCGCGCGCTCGCTTGAGTTTCCCGCGCTCATGACGGCAACGAACGGATGTCCCAGCACGCCGCAGACAATAGCCAACCCGGTTCCCATGTTGCCGGACGTCAGTTCGACCACTGTCTGCCCGGGGCGCAGCGACCCGTTTTCGCGCGCCGCCGTCACGATCGACCGGGCCGCCCTGTCCTTCTTGGAAAAGCCGGGCAGCAGGTAGTCCAGCTTCGCGATTATCCGCCCGTCCAGATCCAGCGCCCGGCCGATCCTGGAGAGTTCAACCATCGGGGTCTGGCCGATGGTTTCAATGACCGAACCGAAAATCACGACAGGACCCCGGTCGCCTTGCCCGCCTTTGCGAACGCCTCCAGAGCGCGATCCAGATCGTTTCTTGTCAGAGCAGCGTTCATCTGGGTTCGAATTCGCGCCCGCCCACGGGGAACCACCGGAAAGAAGAAACCGGAAACATAGACCCCTTCTTCGAACAAGGCCGCTGCCATTGCCTGTGCCAGCTTCGCTTCGCCAAGCATGACCGGAATGATCGGATGCTCGCCGGGGAGAAGGTCAAAACCGAGAGTTTCCAACCCTTTGCGCCAGTAGTTCGCATTTTCGAAAAGGTTGCGGCGAAGATCGTCACCCTCTTCGACCAGACGAATTGCTTCCAGCCCGCTCATGACGACGGCCGGCGGAAGTGAATTGGAAAAGAGGTAGGGGCGCGCACGCTGGCGAAGAAGATCGACAACAGGCTGAGGGCCGGCAATGTAGCCTCCGATACCACCGCCAAGCGCCTTGCCGAGCGTGCCGGTCAGAATATCGACATCAACACCAAAATGTGCCGGTGTCCCCTCACCCTTTGGTCCCATGAAGCCGGTCGCATGGCAGTCGTCAACCATGACCAGGGCGTCGTACTTCTGAGCAAGCGCCGTTACTTCCGGCAATTTCGCCAGGTATCCGTCCATGGAAAAAACGCCGTCAGTGGCAATCATGATGTGACGGGCCCCGCCCTCGCGCGCCTCTTTCAGTTTCGCTTCCAGATCCGTCATATCGGAATTTTGATATCGGAAGCGTCTGGCCTTGCACAAGCGGATGCCGTCAATGATCGAGGCATGATTTAGCGCGTCCGATATGATCGCGTCTTCCGGCCCCAGAAGCGGTTCGAACAAGCCTCCATTGGCATCGAAACAAGCAGCGAAAAGAATGGAGTCTTCCTTGCCCAGAAACTGTGCCAGACGCTGTTCCAGCTGACGGTGAATGTCCTGGGTGCCACAGATGAAGCGCACTGACGCCATACCGTAACCCTTGGGTTCCAGCGCCTTGCGCGCCGCTTCTTCAAGCGCCGGATGGTCCGCCAGCCCAAGATAGTTGTTGGCGCACAGGTTGATGACCTCACGCCCGCCAACGGTAATCACCCCCCCTTGCGGTGAGGAGATCAGGCGTTCTTTCTTGTAGAGCCCTTCAGCCTCGATTTCCTTCAAGGTTTCGGCGATATGAGACAGAAAGGCATCAGACACGACAGGACTCCGGCAAAATGGAAATTTCATCCATTATATCGGATTTTTTTTCAAATAAAAGACGCTTCTTCCATTATGCCGGAATTCGCACCGCGCGCAGTTCGGATAGTTGCAGGAGTCGCGTCCTAGACGTTCACAACCAACAGGATCGCCCGTGCGGGCCCGCTGACGGCTTCGATGCAATGCGGCACATCGGCGGCGTATCGGGCCGTGTCACCCTTGTCGATGATGCCCTTGGCAACCCCCGAGGTCACTTCAAGACGCCCTTCCTCGGCAATCAGTTGCTCCCGGGTCCCACGCTCGTGCGGCTTGCTGTCCAACCTGCCGCCCTTGGCAAAGATGAGCTCGTAGACCTCCAGCTTTCCGGTATCCTGTGGCGGCGAGAGTATTCGGATCTTGCATCCGTCGCCGGCACGGTCCAGCGCCGGGGTCTGGTGGTCGTGCAAGATCTCGACCCTGTCTTCCGCGGCTTCTTCCCCCAACAACCCGGCGAAGTCGACATCCAGCGCCCTTGTCAGGTTGAGCAATGTTGCAACGGTTGGATTCGACTCGCCGCGTTCAATCTGACTGACCATCGAGCGGGAAACGCCGGAGAGTTTCTCAACCGCTTCCAGTGACAGGCCTTGCGCACGCCGGGCGTTTTTCAGGCGTTCGGGAAGACGGGATAAGATGTCTGAATCTGTCATGCCGGAATAAGCCCGCGCCTTTGCAAATGAGGTCGAAATGGTGGAGGTGAATTGCCTGGATTCGAGACGCAAGCTCGCAGGAAAGCGTTCGATTTTCAAGTGCGGGCAGCATTGTAGCAGGGCAATTTCATCCCATAGCAAAGCGGCGTCAACGCGGCTTTGATTTGCGACATCAAGCCGCTAGAGCGAACGCCGAACCTGCTTTTTGCGTTTTTGAGAGCCGATATTCGACGTGTCTGACACTACTTCAATCTCATTAATGAAGGTATGGCCATGGGCCCACTTCGTCGAATTTCACAATGTGCCGTTTTTTAAATGCCTGTTTCAGGACAGAAACCTGCTGATTCCACAACTGGTTCGCCGCACCACTCGGCATCGTCGTTTCCGGAGTGCATCCTGTCGCATTCGGAACACATGCTGCAGTGCGCTCTCACATAGCGTGCCGTCAGTCGCCGGCGGGTACGTTACCTTGCCGGCCCAAGCCAGTTTTCAAGGACACGCCGCGGAGAAAAACCAATGGCAAGCGATATCGAAATTGCCCGTGCAGCCAAGATGAAACCGATCCAGGAGATCGGTGACCGGTTGAACATACCCGATGAATCCCTCCTGCCCTACGGCCGGACAAAAGCAAAGATTTCGGCGGAGTTCATCGAGGGCCTTGGTGGGCGCGAAAACGGCAAATTGATTCTCGTCACCGCGATCAATCCGACACCTGCCGGCGAAGGCAAGACCACGACGACTGTGGGTCTCGGCGATGGTCTCAACAAGATTGGCAAGAACGCCATGATCTGCCTGCGCGAACCGTCCCTGGGACCGTGCTTCGGCATGAAAGGCGGCGCAGCCGGCGGTGGCTATGCGCAGGTCGTCCCCATGGAAGACATCAACCTGCATTTCACGGGTGATTTCCATGCCATCACATCTGCACACAACCTCCTCTCCGCCCTGATCGAGAATCACATCTACTGGGGCAACGAACTCGGCATCGATCAGCGCCGCGTTGTCTGGCGCCGCGTGCTCGACATGAACGACCGTGCGCTTCGTTCGATCGTCTGCTCGCTCGGTGGTGTCGCCAACGGCTTCCCGCGTGAGGGCGGTTTCGACATCACGGTTGCTTCCGAGATCATGGCAATCCTCTGCCTGGCAACAGATCTGGAAGACCTGCAGACACGTCTTGGTGACATTATCGTCGCCTACCGCCGCGACCGCTCGCCGATCCGCGCACGTGACCTGGAAGCCGACGGTGCAATGACCGTGCTTTTGAAGGAAGCGCTGCAGCCGAACCTGGTCCAGACGCTGGAAAACAATCCGGCCTTTATCCACGGTGGTCCGTTCGCCAACATCGCCCATGGCTGCAACTCGGTCGTTGCGACCCAGTCAGCCCTCAAACTTGCAGACTACGTGGTCACGGAAGCCGGTTTCGGCGCTGACCTCGGTGCCGAGAAGTTCTTTGACATCAAGTGCCGCAAGGCCGGCCTTTCACCTGATGCAGTCGTGATCGTCGCCACGATCAAGGCACTGAAGATGAACGGTGGTATCGCCAAGGAAGATCTTGGAACGGAAAACGTCGATGCAGTCGCCAAGGGCTGTGCCAACCTTGGCCGCCATATCGAGAACGTCAAGCAGTTCGGCGTTCCGGCGGTCGTTGCCATCAACCACTTCACTGCAGACACGGAAGCTGAAGTCCAGGCCGTCAAGGACTACTGCGCCGATCTCGGCGTCGATGCGATCCTGGCAACGCACTGGGCCAACGGCTCTGCAGGCACGGAAGAGCTGGCGGTAAGGGTTGCAGAACTTGCTGAAAGCGGTGCAGCCCAGTTTGCTCCGCTTTACGAGGACGGACTTTCCCTGTTTGAAAAGATCGAGACCGTGGCAAAACGGATCTACCGGGCGGACGAGGTTCTTGCGGACAAGTCAGTGCGGGATCAGCTCAAGCGCTGGGAAGCTGATGGCTTCGGCGATTTGCCGGTGTGCATGGCCAAGACGCAATATTCATTCTCCACCGATCCGCAGCTTCGCGGCGCACCGACCGGCCACAGCCTGCCGGTCCGCGAAGTTCGGCTGTCGGCAGGCGCCGGTTTCATTGTCGCGATCTGCGGTGAAATCATGACCATGCCCGGCCTTCCGCGCGTGCCGTCAGCGAACCATATCCGGCTGGATGACAACGGCCAGATCGAAGGCCTGTTCTGATCTGTCCGGACCAGAGCAGTTGATTCGGGCGGGTCAATCGACCCGCCCTTTTCTATTGTGAAGATGATGGGCGGTTAGCACACGTTCATGATTGCCCGAAGCTGTTTTGTAAGGCCGAGTGCTGAAAAACTCACCACAGCCTTCGTCCCGAAGTCTGTTTCGTAGGTGATTTCAAAGCCGTTCGCACTCATCATGCCATCGATAAGGTTCGAGTAGTTCTTGTTGTAATTGTCTATTCTCAGACCGTCTTCGCCGACCAGCACGGTTCGTCCAAAAGCTTCCATCATCAAGTAAGTTCGACCTCTCACGCGCAATTGGGCGATTGTGTCCCGCTTCCAATTCCTGAGACGCACACTGATGTTGACCGAATTCCGTTTCCAGTCTGACCCGCGTATCAGAGCGACACCTGCGGGTGATGCACTGCCTGTGAAACCATCCTCGTGAATGGAGAAGGTCGACATTTCACACATGTCGTCGCTCCGGCTCTTCCAGAGACTCCAGTCTTTCGAGGCCGGTCGCTCTTCCGCATCAAAGTAGAGTTTCTGTGGCCGACGCGGTTCGCGAACGACCTGCAGTGGAATTGTCTTCGCCATTTCGAACAACTCGGAATTCACGTAACCGTTGGCGGTCAAACCAAATCTGCCCTGAATCCGCTTCAAGATTGCGGTGATCTTCACAACCCAGGTTCAGGTTCTCGAAAGCCGATTTTGCATTGTTGCCTGCCATGTAAGCACTCTGGCTCGATCGTCCTGCAGCACTGCGCAGCACCTCGACCTGGTCGCTGGTTAAAAATCCCGTCGCCGCGGCTCCCATTGTCCTTTGAAACTCCGCAACTGCCTGGATTGTGCCTTTTCGCAATAGAAAATCCGGTATTTCAAGATCTTCGTTCGCATAGCCGAGCTGCCGCAAGGCGCGATAGACCTCTTGCTTTTCTTCCAGACCCAGCCCGAAGCCGGAAAAGGCCTGGTGCGCACGCCCAATTTCGTTTGCTTCAATCTGTTGAACTTCGATCGGTTCTGTTTCCGGCGTATTCACCTCGGCGTGAACATGGAGTTCCGAATACCCAAAGAGAAAAACACGAGCATTGCCAGATACGTCGATCTCATTCCTTAAATCCGATTTTGATACAAGACACGCTGAACACAACTCTTAATAGTGAAGTTTCCGGCAATCAACAAAGCTGTTCAACTCACGATCAACTCTTCGGCTGTCGCGTAAGCGACTAGCCGTGTCGCATTGGAGATATCGGCGAATCTGCCTTAAGGCATAACATTTTAGGTAGATTAGAGTTACTTGCGCCCAGTTGGAGCTGCCCATGTCCGATGAAGAAGATATCGATCTCGCGTCTCTCTCCGACGACGAGCTTGTCGAGCAGATGCATGACGACCTATATGACGGCCTTCAGGACGAGATCCTCGAAGCCGTGAACATTCTCCTTGAGCGCGGTTGGGTGCCTTATGACGTCCTGACCAAGGCACTCGTTGAAGGCATGCGGATCGTAGGCGTCGATTTCCGGGACGGTATCCTGTTCGTACCGGAAGTTCTGCTGTCGGCCAATGCGATGAAGGCCGGAATGAGCATCCTGCGCCCGTTGCTTGCTGAAACCGGTGCACCGAAAGTCGGCAAGATGGTCATCGGAACGGTGAAGGGCGATATTCATGATATCGGCAAGAACCTCGTCTCCATGATGATGGAAGGCGCCGGCTTCGAAGTCATCGATATCGGCATCAACAACCCGGTCGAGAATTACCTGGCCGCGCTCGAAGAGCACCAGCCGGAAATCCTGGGCATGTCCGCCCTTCTGACCACCACCATGCCTTACATGAAAGTCGTGATCGACGAGATGAAGGCGAAAGGCATCCGTGACGACTACATCGTGCTTGTCGGCGGTGCACCGCTGAACGAGGAATTCGGTGAAGCTGTGGGAGCGGACGGGTATTGCCGCGATGCAGCCGTCGCGGTGGAAATGGCAAAAGACCTGATCGCCCGCCGTCACAACCAACTCGCCTCCAAAGGCTGAGACGGTGTTTGAAGGGGCTGCCGACATGCATTCCGGCGAGCCTCTTTTTCCGTTCGAGACAGATCAGGACGCAAACAACAAGATCGGCCGCGTCCTGATCATCGCTTGCGGTGCGCTCGCACGCGAGATTGTCGCCATTCGTGATCTGAATGGCCTCGACCATATCGACCTCACCTGCCTGCCGGCCAAGCTGCACAACACACCGGACAAGATACCCGACGAGGTCCGTCGCGCTATTCTGCTGAACCAGGACGTTTATTCCGAAATCCTCATCGGCTACGGCGACTGTGGAACCGGTGGCCTTCTTGACAAGGTGCTGGAGGAAACCGGCGCCAAACGCATCGAAGGAGCGCACTGCTACGCGTTCTTTTCCGGCCTGGAAGAATTCGAAAAAATTTCAGAGGAAGAGCTCGGCACATTTTATCTGACCGATTTCCTTGCACGCCACTTCCAGACAATGGTCATCGAACCGCTCGGTCTCGACTGGCATCCGCATCTCAGGGACATGTATTTCGCCCACTACAAGCGGCTCGTCTATCTCGCACAGACGGACAATCCGAAACTTGAAACAGCTGCCCGCGAGGCCGCCGAGAGGCTCCAGCTGGAATTTGAAATCCGCCGAACAGGATACGGGATGCTTTCGACCTTTCTCGGCGGCACGAACGAACCTTGATACGGCTTATTGGACAGGTCGGTTTTCAGCACGCTCATGCCGCTATCAGGCGACCTGAAAATAGTGACTTCCGGCAAACATGCTCTCAGAGGAAAGAGAGAAAATGGCGCAGAAAATTTTCGTTTTTTGGCGTGATATCCCGGCGCAGATCCTGGTGAAAAAGGGACGCAAGTCGGCGCGCCGAGAATTGCCTGCCATGTTCATGGAGGCCATTGATGCCTGTGCCATGCGCGTCGGAGCCAAGGACAGCGAAGCTTACATGGCCGAATGGCGCCGAAGCGATCCCGTCGAGGTCTCTGACGACCTGGAGACGGAGGCGGAAACGGCATTGAGCGAATTGCTCGCCGCCTATCCGAAAGACCGATTGAAAACCCTTCTTGCAAGTGGAGGCACCGAGAATGACTGAGCAGCGCCTGTTGGCCAATGGGCGCCTCGCCGCCTCCACCGAGATGTCACCGAAACAGGTGGTCGAAAAATCCGAGGTTCTGGTGAACATTCCCACCGGTACACAGGTTTATGTGACCGACCTGGGCAACGCTTCGGAAGACATGATTGTCCAGGCGACGCGCACGCTGACGGACCGCAATCTCATTGCCGTGCCGCACATGGCCGCGCGTCGCTATCCGTCTCTCGAGGCTTTCGAACGCAGGATTACACGCCTGACACAGGAAGGTGGTGCGACCGAAGTACTGGCGATAGCCGGCGAAGCTGAAAAAGCCGGTCCGCTGACCTCGTCGGTTGCCCTGCTTGAGACCGGTCTGTTCGACAAACTCGGCATCCGGAAAATTGCGGTCGCAGGTCATCCTGAAGGCGCTCCCGACATCAAGCCGGATGCAATCAGGTCCTTCTTGATGCGCAAACACGAACTGGCTGCCGAAAGCGATGCGGACTTCCGGATCGTGACGCAGTTCGGCTTCGACCCGCACCGCGTCAGCCTCTGGCTGGACGAGCTGCGTGATTGGGGAAATGCCTTCCCCGTTCACATTGGCGTCGCAGGGCCGGCCAAGATGACGACACTGCTGAAATACGCCGCGTTTGCGGGTGTCGAAAACTCTCTGAACTTTCTGAAGAAACGCGGTGGTGCGGTGGTCTCCATGCTGGCCGGGTACGATCCGAACACAATGGTGGAGCCGCTGGAGACACGTGTCACCAGCCAACCGGGAGCACAGCTCGAGCAGATCCACGTCTATCCTTTTGGTGGGATCCAGAAAACCGCGGACTGGCTGCACGGCCGCGGGAGCTGGTCCTTTCAACCCTCATCATCCCTGACTGCCAACGAGAGCGCCTAAATGACACGCACAGTCGTCGCATCCGCCACAAAGGAAATCATCATCGGTTTCGACCAACCGTTCTGCGTAATCGGCGAGCGGATCAACCCGACCGGACGCAAGAAACTGGCGGCCGAGATGGTTGAGGGCAACTTCGAAACGGTGAAGGCCGATGCCCTGGCACAGGTCGCCGCCGGCGCCACAATGCTTGACATCAACGCGGGAGTGACCGCTGTCAACCCGAACGAAACCGAGCCCCCGCTTCTGGTTAAAACCCTTGAGATAGTTCAAGGACTTACAGACATTCCTTTGTCTATCGATTCATCCGTGACGGAAGCCATCAAGGCCGGTCTTGAAACGGCCAAGGGCCGTCCGCTGGTAAATTCGGTGACAGGTGAGGAAGAAAAGCTCGAGGCAATCCTGCCGCTGATCAAGAAATACGATGTTCCCGTGGTTGCCATTTCGAACGACGAAACGGGTATTTCGGAAGATCCGGATGTCCGTTTCGCGGTAGCCAAGAAGATCGTGGAGCGTGCCGCCGATTTCGGCATCCCTGCGCACGATATTGTCGTCGACCCGCTCGTCATGCCGATCGGTGCCATGGGAACGGCCGGGCTCCAGGTCTTCAAGCTGTTGCGTCGTCTACGCGACGAGTTGAAGGTCAACACGACTTGCGGCCTGTCCAACGTTTCCTTCGGCCTGCCGCACCGGCACGGCATCAACGCCGGCTTCATCCCGATGGTAATCGGTGCCGGCATGACGTCGGCAATCATGAACCCGTGCCGCCCGCAGGAAATGGAAGCGGTTCGTGCCGCCAACGTGCTGAACGGGACTGACCCGAACTGCCAGGAATGGATCATGACATACCGGGATCACAAGCCAGCCGCCGCAGGTGCAACGGCAGCACCGGCGGAAGGTGGTGCCTCTTCCGGTGGACGCCGGAGAGGAGGCCGTGCAGCGCGGCTTTCTGCAGGCTGAAGGGTTCGATACAAATCGGGACGGTTTCACTGTCCTGCCTGAAACGGCTGAAACGCCTCAATCCCCTTCCCCTTTTTCCGGGGAGGGGTTTTGTGCTCAGTGACCACGATATGCAGTAGATGTCCGAGACGGACGTTTTGAACTGCCGGATGTCCCAGACAGATATTTGAAGCGCTCATGACCGAAGACAGCAAAACAGCAAAAGTCGTTTTCCAGCCAAGTGGCCGGCGAGGTACATTTACTGTCGGAACTCCGCTTTTGGATGCGGCCCGGTCCCTGGGTGTCTATGTCGAATCCGTCTGTGGCGGGCGCGGTATTTGCGGTCGCTGCCAGGTGGCCGTCTCGGAAGGCACTTTTGCCAAGGAGAACCTGACAAGCGTCGCTGATAACCTTGAAGGTGCGACAGAGGCGGAAACACGTTACGCGACCCTGCGCAATCTGCCTGACGACCGGCGCCTGTCCTGCCAGGCAAGGATTCTGGGCGACCTGGTCATCGACATCCCGACGGATGCTCAGACAAATCGCCAGGTGGTGCGCAAACGCGCCGAGGCCAAGCATATCGACGCTGACAGCGCCGTTACGCTCGTGACGGTCTCGATCGTCGAACCGGACATGGAAACGCCGCGCGGGGATATCGACCGTCTGCGGGAAGCGATTGCAGTCGAAACCGGAATTGGCGATCTGACAGTTGATCCGCTGCTGTTGCCCCGAGTGCAAACTATCTTGCGGTCCGGGAAATGGACCGTTACTGCGGCAGTTTATGTCGATGCGTCCATTCAACCGACTGTCACCGCACTGTGGCCGGGGAAAAAAAACGCCGTTTACGGCCTTGCCGTCGATATCGGTTCGACAACCATCGCTGCCCATCTGTGCAACCTCAGGAATGGCCGCACCGTCTCGTCAGCTGGAACTTCCAATCCGCAGATCCGGTTCGGTGAAGACCTGATGTCACGGGTGTCCTATGTGCAGATGAACCCCTCCAAGCTTCCCGATCTGACCAAAGCGGTGCGTGATGCCATCAATTCGCTGATCGGCAAGCTTGTCGGAGATGTCGGCGCCGAACGGTCAGATGTTCTGGACGCAACGTTTGTCGGCAACCCGGTGATGCACCATCTCTTTCTCGGCATCGATCCGGTTGAGCTTGGTGGCGCCCCGTTTGCCCTGGCTGCTTCCGACGCAATGGTGTTGCCTGCCCGCGACCTCGATCTGGAACTCAATCCGGGTGCGCGCGTCTACATGTTGCCGTGTATTGCCGGTCATGTCGGTGCGGATGCCGCTGCTGCAACGCTCTCCGAAAGCCCTTACAGCCACGACGAGATCACGCTGCTTGTCGACGTCGGTACGAATGCCGAGATCGTTCTCGGAAACAAGGACCGGTTGCTGGCAGCCTCCTCACCGACCGGTCCGGCATTTGAAGGAGCCGAAATCTCATCGGGTCAACGCGCCGCTCCCGGTGCGATTGAACGCCTTCGCATCGACAAGGAAACACTTGAACCCCGTTTTAAGGTGATCGGCGTTGACGAATGGTCGGACGAGGAAGGATTTTCGGAAAAAATAGACAGTGTCGGTGTCACAGGCATCTGCGGCTCGGGCATTATCGAAGCTGTCGCAGAGATGTATCTTGCCGGACTGATCACCGAGAATGGTGTCATCGATGGGTCCATGGCCGAGCGGACACAGCGCATCAGGTCCAATGGACGTACCTTTTCCTATGTCATCGCAGACGAGAACATCGAGATTTCGATCCTGCAGACGGATATCCGTGCCATCCAGCTGGCGAAAGGTGCGCTCTACGCCGGTGTGAAACTCCTTCAGGACAAGCTCGGCACTTACGCGCTGGAGCGAATTCGCCTTGCAGGTGCATTCGGCAGCTATATCGATCCCAAATACGCGATGATCCTCGGCCTCATTCCCGATTGCCCGCTCGAAGGCGTTTCCGGGGTTGGCAATGCAGCCGGAACGGGAGCGCGCATGGCATTGTTGAACCGGGGATACAGGCGCGAAATCGAACAAACGGTTCGTGACATCGAGAAGATCGAGACTGCCCTGGAACCGAAATTCCAGGAACATTTCGTCAATGCCATGGCGCTGCCGAACAAGGTTGACCAATTCCCGAACCTCAGGTCCGCAATCGAATTGCCCGAGCGCAAGGAACAGCCAACCACCGATGCCTCAGGGGGTGAGCGACGCCGTCGGCGTCGCAGGGGATAGGCAACTGTACCCAGCTCGAATGAGGTGACCCTTTGCGTGCGTCTTGTGAACTGACGGTCTCCGAAACTCAGTGCCCGCCCGCCAACCCGGCACCGAGCTGAAATGCGGCGATGCTCATGCAAAGAACGGCACCAGCGAGCCCCCACCAGCGGCGGCGGTAAAGAACCCCCGTGCCGTCCCGCCTGCCGAGCAGAAACAGAGACAGGTTCACAAGTGCGAAAACGCCCAGTGTGACCAGACTTGTTGTTGCCGCAAGACGGACGAGCGGGAATGCCAGCGCCAGCACAAGAATGACGCTCGCGACAAGCATCGTGGCTCTGGCAGGTGTCTGTCTCAGCGGATCAACGATCGAAAGCCACTTTGGAGCCAAGCCTTCGTTGGCCATTCCGTAAAGAACACGACTTGCCATGACGATCTGGACGAGAATGCCGTTGATCATGGCAATCGATGCAGCGGCAGCGACAGGTTTGCCTGACAATCCGGAAACCGACTCGAAAAGCTGGGCCAGGGGTGCAGCCGACGAAACGATTGCCTGTCGATCCGCCGCCAGTGCCGCGATGACGGCCAACAGGACATAGATGACAAGCGTAATGCCCAAAGTCAGGTAAATCGACCGGGGAACCGTCTGTTCCGGCTGAACTGTTTCCTCGCACATGTTGATAATGTCTTCGAAACCGATGAAAGCAAAAAACGCCAGCACACCGCTGGACAAAACACCGGTCAGGATCGCAGCGTTCATGCTCGGGGTCATCGTTGCAACGACGTTGCCAAGGTCACCGAACAGCGGAAGACCGAAGAAAACCACGACAAGCAACGTTCCCAGTTCGAGCACGGTTACTGCCGCGGCAAAGAACACGCTTTCACGGACACCGTACCAGGCGATCGCGGACAAAGCCCCGATTACCAGCACAACAAGCAATGGTTGGGGTACCGGCAGCAATTCCCGAAGATAACCGGCAAAAGCGATCGAAATAACCGCGCTGGAAACAATTCCGGTAACGACAACGCCGTAACCGGCCAGGCGCGCAAAGAAGCTACCCAGGCCCTGATTGACGAAAACGGCTTCTCCGCCTGCGCGCGGATATCGCTGGATCAATGCTGCATATGAAACGCCGGTGACCCCGGCTATCAGTCCTGCGAGCAGGAACGCAAGCGGGGCGCGATCTCCTGCGAGCGCCAGCACTTCACCAATGAGCGCAAAGATGCCTGCACCTATCGTGACGCCGACACCGTAAAACACCAGCCACGGCAAGGTGATAGTGCGTTTCAGATGCTGACGAGATTTTCTGGTTTCATCTGCCATCCATCCATTCTGCGTGAGCTTCGCGCGACAGCCAATTGGGCGATACACGTACCTGGCTATTCACGAGGTCCCAAAAGCCTGTGCCCGCGAACTGAATCGAGCAACCAGTTTCCTGCTACCGGAATTTGTCAGTCTTCGGCTGATGTCGTGACCGATCGCTTTTCCGTTTCGACCAACAATCGAGAAAAGCATTGTTTGCCACTTTCTGACGTCGATTTGCGCGCAGTCACAAGTCTTCAGGGATCCCAGAAGAACTGTTCGCGCAGCTGCTGCCAGATTTTCTCGCCAACGAGACAATCGTATGGTTCTTCCAGCGTAAACTGAACAGGCTGCACCAAAGGTTTGTCCGGGACATAGCCGCCGATCTCCAGAATGAGCTTCCGCCTGACCGCATCCGGAAACTGCGCCCATTCCGTGACCGGAATGACAAAACTTGCCGGGCCACCGGTCACGCAGCGATGGTAATAGACGTCAAGATCCGGAATGTTGAACTGTGATCCCGGACCACCGGTCGTCATCAGCGGCAGTCCGTTGATCGTTATGCCGCTTTCCACCGCAACATCACGGGCAAGCGTTACGGGAGACCCGTGATTGTTCGGGCCATCGCCGGATATATCAATGACATGGCGGTCCGCTTCGTATGGCACCTCCTCCAGCAACTCGGCCGCATGCTTGATTGCGCCTGAAATGGAGGTTCGGCGCTGACTGTAGGATTCCTGCTTCAGAATACGGTCGGAAAAGTCCCGGGCATCTTCCGGCCCTTCGATCAGGGACCAATCGACAGTTACCCTGACGTAGTTGTCGTTGGCCCATTCAAACATCATCAAGGCGATTTTACCGTGCGCACCGAGTTCGATTGCCCGCACGACATCAGAACTGGCAACCGCGGCGGCGTAGCCCCGGCGCTGGATCCTGAGTTCTTCCGGCGACATCGATCGAGAGACATCGACGGCAAGAACAAGCGCGACGTCGACCTTTTCCTGTGCAGATGCGAGTGTCTGTGTCGCCACAAAAGTGACTAGCGCGCACATAAAAGACAGCTGATGAAGTGGCCTCCACATGCGGGAAGGATACCCGAATACACAAAAACCGGAAGCGTGCCGGTTTCCAGGGGCGATAAACCATCTGTGAGGACGGAAGCCGACGTCGTTCAACTGCCCCTTTCGCAGAAACGACCGGTTCAGTTATAAGACCACTGCAAACAGATTTTTCAGGAAATGGACATGTCCGAAACAGTTGCCAACGATCAAGTCGAAAAACCGATGCTCGGAACACTCCTCCACGGAGGTGTCTACCGGATCGTCATGCAGAGGCCGGAACGGATGAACGCGCTGTCGAGCGAAATGATGTCGGCGCTTTCTGGAGAGCTCTCCAGGGCCGCAGAAGACCCTGCGGTCCGGGTTATTCTCATTGGCTCGGAAGGCAAGGTGTTCTGCGCAGGTCATGACCTGAAAGAACTGACCGCAGCACGCGCTGAAAGTGACGGAGGCAAGGCGACTTACGAGCGGATCATGCGTCAATGCTCAGATCTGATGCAGCAGATCGTTCGTCTGCCGAAGCCGGTGATCGCGGTCGTGACCGGGGTCGCAACGGCGGCCGGCTGCCAGCTTGTTGCGTCCTGCGACCTAGCCATCGCAACCGACACGGCGACCTTCTGCACGCCAGGTGTCAATATCGGGCTCTTCTGCTCAACACCCATGGTTGCCCTTTCACGTAATGTCGCTCCGAAGCAGGCGATGGAAATGCTTCTCACAGGCGAAAGTATCGATGCTTCCACTGCCAAGGAATTCGGCCTGATCAACAGGATCGTACCTGCGGACTATCTTGACCAGGTGGTTCAGAAATACGCCGAGGTGATCGCCTCCAAATCCGCTCGAACGCTGAAAATCGGCAAAGAGGCCTTCTATCGCCAACTCGAGATGCCGTTGTCGGATGCCTATGATTTCGCCGCCCAGACAATGGTCGACAACATGTTGGCGCGGGACGCAGAGGAAGGCATTTCCGCGTTCCTGCAAAAGCGCAAACCGGAATGGACGGATAGTTGACCAACTTTCTCCGTTTCACTTCCATTCACGAATATCTTGAATGACACAGACCGGATATTCAGGCCGTCCCCTGTCGAGAAAACTGGGTTTGAAACCGGGCATGACCTGCTGGCGGGTTGAAATGCCGGAGGACATTGCCGATTTACTGAACGCGCAGGAACCAGGACAACTTGTCATGGCGTCCCCTGCCCCGATGCTTGATTGCGCACATGTTTTCGTTCGCGAAAAAGACGTGCTTTCTCTCCATCTTGCTGACCTCAGAGATCTGCTTGCGCCCGATGGCATGATCTGGGTTTCCTGGCCCAAAAAGTCCAGCAAGATGCCGACAACCGTCACAGAAGACGTGATCCGTGACATTTGCCTGCCGATGGGGCTTGTCGATGTAAAAGTTTGCGCGGTCGATACAGTCTGGTCCGGGCTCAAGCTCGTGATCCGCAAGGAACAGCGCGCGGAGCAGTAGGAGAAGCTGGCCGTCCAGGCCAGCCGCTCAGCCGGGAACCAGTCAGGTCAGAGCAACGGCAGATAAATTTCGGAAACCGTTTCGTGCTCCGGGACATCCGGGAAGAACTTCAGGCGTTTTACGAACAGCGGGAAGTCGCGCAACTGTTGCCCACGTTGCGGGAGCCAGTCCCGATAGAGGAACCTGATCGCGTTTTCCGCAAAGTCGAGTGATCCCATATGCGACAGGACGGCACACCGTCCTCCGGGGATTATGGATGATCTGATGCCATAGCCGTTTTCGGGGACCGGACCGGCGACTTCGCAGCAAAACCCGAAGCGGTAGTCGCAGGGAGCGACCGCTTTCGGGTCATCATACAGAATGTTGAACGTTGCATGTTTCACCGGTGGCAGGTTGTTCTCCCTGCGCCAGGAAATGAACCGCTGGACGGATCTCGAAAGTCCCGACTGCGGTCCCCTGTGCTCAAGTATGGCGATCCGGGTCTCCAGGAAATCCCGGACGTTGACGTAGTCAGGATCAGGTGTATCTGTCGGCATGAACCGGCCTTTCAACTTTGTAAGTGGATTGAAGGTTTCGTGCCAGATGTCCCAATTTGGATTTGCCCTGAAGTCAGACGGAGCTTGTCCGAACGCGCGTTTGAAGGCCCTGGAAAAGCTTTCAAGGTTCTCATATCCAGCGTCATAGGCGATGTCGGTGACCGGTTCCTCCGGTCTGTAGACAAGTTGGTTCCCAGCACGTTTCATGAGCAAGTGACGTCGATATTCGGCGACACTCATGCCCAGGAAAGCCGAAAACTGACGCTGGAAATGAAATCGTGAAAATGCGGCTGCCTCGGCAAGCCTTGTGATGTTCAAGGGCCGATCCAGGGAATGATCGATTTCATCGAGCACCCTTCCAAATCTTCGCTGCATGTCGCACTTCACTATTCGCGTTCCATTCGAACTCATCTGGCAGGCTCCTGCCTAGAATGCCCCCACGTCTTCCGCCTGACCGTGAATGCTCTTTCGAAACTGTGACCGGATAGCGCATCTGAAAGGCTTGCAGGCCGGACCCGTTTCGCATTGGATAGCGCGGCACTGACGAGGGTCCTCATTTCATGAATCACGACAACTATTCCGACGCCTACATCAAGGGCATCCTGGACGAGGTGAATACGGTTGCCATGATCGGTGCAAGCGCCAACACCGTGCGCCCATCGTATTTTGTACTGAAGTACCTCTTGTCAAAGGGATACGACGTCTGGCCGATCAATCCGGGTCAGGCCGGGAAGGAAATCCTGGGGCAAACCGCCTATGGATCGCTCGATGCCCTTCCGGACATCCCGGACATGGTCGACATATTCCGAAATTCCGAAGCTGCCGCCCAGATCGTCGACCAGATCGTGGAAGGCGGTAAGCTGCCGAAGGTGATCTGGATGCAACTCACCGTCCGCCATGATGAGGCTGCTCGGCGTGCGGAAGACGCCGGCATCAAGGTGGTCATGAACCGTTGCCCGAAGATTGAATATGGCAGGCTTTCAGGCGAAATCGGCTGGGCAGGTGTCAATTCCAAAACACTTTCGTCGAAACGTCCTACGCTCAAATCCGGTTTTCAGCATCGCGGTCTGACCGGTAAATCGAGAGGGTAAGAGAGCCGACCCCGGTCGTGACAGCCGACATTTCACTTAACCCGTTGACATCGATATTCTAATGAGCGCGGCCAAATAGAAAAATCCTGCTTTGACCTCGCCCCTGCCTTCGGTCAAACTGCCCGCAATTCCAACAGGGAGGTGATTTATGAGCGATAATATTCCCGGGTTTTCCACGCTGGCCATTCATGCAGGCGCAGCACCCGATCCGTCCACGGGCGCGCGCGCCACACCAATTTACCAGACCACATCCTTTGTCTTCGACGATGTCGACCATGCGGCCTCCCTGTTCGGTCTGCAGGCCTTCGGTAACATCTACACGCGAATCACCAATCCGACGACCGCCGTTCTGGAAGAACGCGTCGCGGCTCTGGAGGGCGGCACCGCAGCTCTCGCGACGGCGTCCGGGCACTCTGCCCAGCTTCTTTGCTTCCACACCATGATGAAGCCCGGCGACAACATCGTTGCGGCAAACAAGCTTTACGGCGGCTCCATCAACCAGCTCAATCACTCCTTCAAGAGCTTCGGCTGGAGCGTGAAATGGGCCGATCCGGACGATCTCAACACGTTCGAAGCCGCGATAGACGACAATACCAAGGCGATCTTTATCGAGAGCCTCGCCAATCCCGGCGGTATCGTCATGGATATCGAAGCAATCTCCAGGCTCGCCAAGGCCAAGGGCATTCCGCTGGTCGTCGACAACACGATGGCAACACCCTATCTGTGCCGGCCGATCGAACACGGCGCCGATATCGTTCTTCATTCGCTGACCAAATTCATGGGGGGGCACGGCAACTCCATGGGCGGCATCATCGTCGACGGCGGAAGCTTCGACTGGTCGGCAGGTGGCAGGTATCCTCTCCTGTCCGAGCCGCGCCCGGAGTATCAGGGCATCGTCTTGCATGAGACTTTCGGCAATTTCGCGTTTGCGATCGCCTGCCGGGTTCTGGGCCTGCGCGATCTCGGCCCTGCCATTTCGCCGTTCAATTCCTTCATGATCCTGACGGGTATCGAAACACTGCCGCTCCGCATGCAACGGCACTCGGATAACGCCAAGAAGGTAGCCCTTCACCTTTCGGGACACGACAAGGTCAAATGGGTGTCGTACGCGGCGCTGCCGGAAGACAGGCACCATGCCCTTCAGCAGAAATACATGCCAAAGGGCGCCGGTGCGGTGTTCACATTCGGCGTTGAAGGCGGCTATGACGCAGGCGTTGCGCTGGTGTCGAAAGTGGAACTGTTCTCGCATCTCGCCAATATCGGCGACACGCGCAGCCTTATCATTCACCCGGCCTCGACGACGCACCGCCAGCTCACCGACGAGCAGAAAACCGCGGCCGGTGCGGGACCGGACGTTGTCCGGCTTTCTGTCGGGCTCGAAGAAGTGGAAGACATCATTGCCGATCTTGATCAGGCGCTGTCCGGCTGATCACGCGTGCGCCATGAAAACGAATGCCCGCCACAGGCGGGCATTTTTTTGCCTAGCCCCGGATCGGGAAGGCGCCCTTCAGCACGGCAAGGTGATCGACGGCCGCAGCGAGGACAATGACCGCAAAACCCTGGTGAACCAACGCGACAGACAGCGGAACGTGCCAGACCAGGGTCAGGACGCCGAATACCGCCTGAAGGAAAATGAAGGCGCCGATATGAGCTCCGGCACGCCGGAGTTCCTTGCGCTGGCTCGCCTTGAATGTTGCCCACGTCAGCCATAGCCCGAGGGCGACCAGCAGATAGGCCGTTATCCTGTGCTGAAACTGGACCGTCAGGACGTTTTCGAAGAAGTTCAGCCAGACGGGTTTCATCATCAGAAGACCACCTGGAACGAGTTGACCGTCCATCAGGGGCCAGGTGTTGAACGTCAGCCCGGCGTTGAGGCCAGCGACCAGTCCGCCCAGGAATATCTGAACAAAGACGACACCCAGAACCAGTTTGCTGAGCACACCCAGGCGGGTTTGTTCGCTCGGCACCGGATCTTTCAGGGGAGATAATCGACGTGCCAGCCAGAAAAGATAGGCGAAGATAATCAGCGCAAGCGTCAGATGCGCCGCAAGGCGGTACTGGCTGACATCGACACGATCGACCAGTCCGGAAGCTACCATCCACCAGCCGACAAATCCCTGCAGCCCCCCCAGCGCGAGCGCCGTCAGGAGACGTGGTTTCAGCCAGGGTTCGACACGCCCCGCCGCCCAGAAGACAACCATCGGAACAAAAAAGGCAACGCCGATAAAGCGCCCCAGAAGCCTGTGCCCCCACTCCCACCAGAATATGAATTTGAATTCATCAAGGCTCATACCCTTGTTGATGAGCTGGTATTCGGGGATCTGCCGGTACTTTTCGAGCTCTTCTTCCCATTCCACTTCGCTGAGAGGCGGGATCACGCCATGGATTGGCTTCCATTCGGTAATCGAGAGGCCGGATTCCGTTAGGCGGGTCGCGCCGCCGACAACGACCATTACGAGGATCAGCAGACAGACGAAATAGAGCCACCAGCGGATCATGGCCCTGCTGCGCCTGATCCGTTCCAGTTTCGCCGGCAGGATCTGTGTGTCCCCTGCCCTTGCACTGTCTGCAAATGCGTTCATGAAGCCATTCCGGTTATACCCGCAGTCGATTTGACCTTTGGTCTGCGGAGATATAGGTGCAGGAACAACACGGCAAGCGGTCTGAGACATTTTGTGTCAATCGGTGTCCCGTGCCGCGTTGGTCACTAAAAAACGGAAACTCGCTGCGATGGTTCCCTCGTTTCGCAAATTCATTGGAATGGTGCTTCTGGTCGTCTTTGTTGTCGTCTACGCGTTCACGGCAATGGTGATCGGTGACCTGACCCTGCAACAGTCATCAAATCTGGTGCGGTTTGCCTATTTCGCGATCGCGGGACTGCTTTGGGTCATCCCCGCTGGTGCAATTATCTGGTGGATGGAAAAAAGCGGGAAAAACCGGACCTGACACCAAATCCGGAGGCTGCCCATCGAGCTGCCCGGTAGAGCGCAAAAGGCGCGCCAGTCAGATATTGATCGACGATCGCCGGATCCTGAAACCGGCCGTTCAGCGAGACCCGAGGAAGCATCATCGGGTCTCGAGCGTTGACCGATTGCAAAACGCCGGGAAGCGTCGTAACCGATGAAGAAAAGCCGATATCACGAAGAATGTCGGCATCGCGCAGGCTGACCGCATGAGACTTGCCATAGGGATAAGCGAAGTGCTTTTGCCGGCGCCCCAGTTCCTTCTCCAGAAGTTTCATGCCCTTGGTGACGTCGGCACGTGCAGATGAACTGTCTAGTCTCGCCAGGGCGTAATGACTGTGGGTATGTGCCCCGATGGTTACCAGTGGATCGGATGCCAACTCGCGCACTTCATCCCAGTTCATCATCTGTGTATCTGCCAGCGCAGCCAGATCAACACCGTATTTTTCCGACAATGCCCTGACGATTTTTCGTTGATCCAGTTCGCCGACTTCCAGTGTCAGGTAGTCAACGATGCGCTCGAAACAGGTATTCTTTTCGGCTGTGGTGCTGCAGGAAATACCGTTTTGTTCGCCGGCCTGCGTGAACACGACTTCTTCGTTTTCCGCAATAATCTCCTCAAGTGCGAGCCACCAGAGTTCTGTTGTCCGTTCAACCAGGCCAGTCGTCACGAAAACCGTGAACGGAGCCTGCAACTCCTTCAAGATGGGATAAGCAACTTCAAGATTGTCCCGGTAACCGTCGTCGAACGTCAGCACCGCGTATCGATGATGCCCGTATCCCGATTTCAGAAGATCAACCGCCTCGTCCAGAGAAATGATCTCATAGCCATTGGCACGGATGCGCTCGACAGCCAGGCGAAGGAATTCGGGCGTTATTTCAAGATGCGCATTGGGCTGAAAGTCGCCGGTTCTCGCCGGGCGCACGTGGTGCATCATGAACACCGCGCCGCATCCCTGGGTCAGAGGCGCCATCATGCGTCCGATCCCGGATCCCTTCAGAACCCTGAATGCACGCGAAACTGCTTTCTGACGTATGCCCATTCGGCCGCAATGCCCACTCATAAACTATGCACCAGTAAGGCACGTATTCTTTAACAATTGTTGCTAAGTCTATCGGGACAAAAACATCTCGGCCAGCACAACCATGAGCTTTTGTCGATGATCGTTTAAAATGGATTACCCGAATGTCACCGACAGCCGCAACCGCTTTGAAACCAGCACCGGACACCGAACCGACGCCAGATGCGGCATCGCTCGACTTCTCGATCCACTCAGATTTGCAGGAAGCGGCAGCGGAGTGGCGAGAGCTCATTTCCTCTGGTTTCGGCAACCCGTATCAGTCTCCTGAATGGCTCGACGCATGGATCAAAACGCTGGGTGCCGAACGCCATGTCGAGCCTGTCGTCGTGGTCGGGCGGTTCGGGGACAAACCGGTCGTGGTTTTGCCCTTTGGCCTGGAACGGGCAGCAGGAACGACATCGCTTTCCTTCCTCGGACATGAACATGGCAATCAGAACACCGGCATTTGGGATCCGCGGTTTTATGCAGAAGTCCCGGACGAGCAGATTGCCGCGTTGCTGAAAGATGTCTGCCACAGACACCAAGCAGACATGCTGGTCTTGCAGAATGTTCCTGAAGACTGGAAAGGACGGAAACACCCTCTCGTCCTTGCGGTGGCAACACCCAGTCCAAGCCCCATTTTCGTGCGCAACCTGTCGGCGGACTTCGACACGCTCTTCCGGGACACACACAGCAAATCCTCGCGAAAGAACCTCCTCAGAAAACAAAGGCATCTGCAGTCGGTCGACGGCTACAGGGTGATCAAGGCCGAGTGCGAACAGGATTTGAGACGTGCGCTTGATGCGTTTCTGGAACAGCGTTCCGCGCGGGCGCGGGAAGCAGGCATCCCAAATGTCTTTTCGTCCCGGACCGCGCGGCGCTTTCTCGAAATGGTTCTCGGACTGGAAGCCGGCAATGAAACGTCAGCGCCACTGGATCTCTGGTTTCTGGAAGCTGATGGCAAAATTCGCTCCACCTATCTGTGCGCACGACATGGCGGAACTGTTTACGCCTATAGCAACAGTGTCGCTCACGACGAGTTGTTGGCGAACAGTCCGGGTCTGGTCCTGATCAAGGAGATCATCGAGCAGGCCTGTGCTGACGACGGAATTTCCGTTCTCGACCTCGGACTTGGTGAGGAACGCTATAAAACAGCCTGGGCCGAACCGGTTCTTCTCAAGGACAGCCGCCTTGCAATGTCATTCAGGGGAAGCATCAGGCAAAACGCTGAAACGCTTCGTCTTCAGGCAAAGACCGTTGTCAGGAATTCCAAGGTCCTGTGGCCGCTGGTCAAACGGTTACGCAAATGGACATCGTCGGTCAGTCAATCCTGACCATGTCGCAGTGTCCTGACCCGGATCGATTTCAGGCTCCACAATCTCCGAAATGCATATAGCGGATCAGGCCGCGTGACCATCGCCGTTTCGGCGCGGATCCGGGCTCGTTTCACCGGCAATCAACACCTCGACGTGGGCCCCGGTATTGTGCGCAAGAAGATTGGCTGCACTTTGAAGTTCATGACTGTGGTCCGGGGCACTTGCGGCAATGAACACGCGGTCGGCAAAACTCAGCATCCTCGCGCTGGCAAGCGAACCGTCGATTGCTCCCAGATCGACCACGACCGCGTCGTATGTCGATCTGATGGCATCAAGCGCAAGCTTGAAACGATCTGAATTGACCATGCTGTCCGTTATCTCGTACCTGCCGGCCTCGATGATATGGGCCTTGGACACAGCATCCTTGTAAACGACCTTCGCAAAGGGCATGCGCCCAGACACCACGTCAGAAAATCCTTCGGCAGCCCGGTCATTGGATTGATCCGGGAACACTTCCACAACCAGCGAAGTCCGCCCGTTTTTCGCAGCCTTGCGAACGAGATCGAATGCCAGATCATGAGACAGTGCTTCGTCGTCGACACTCAGAACAACTATACGTCCCCTCACGTCTATGTCGCGCGAGAACGCTGCCTTGTAGCTTTTCTTGCCGGAAACGCTCGCCAGCCGCTCCCGTGAAAGCTCCGGTTTCCTTTCCCGTTTTTCACCACGTTCGATGTCCGGTTCAGGCTCTGACTTGACGTCATTCTTGTCTTTTTTGCCGCGCAGGCTGTCAATCCAGTCGGGAGCAACGTCCTGGTCATAGCCCCTGTCTGAACTCTTCCGTCCGGGTACGCCGGCCTGACGTTCTTGATCGTCTCTTGCTGGCAGTTCTTCAAAATCCGGTTCCGGCCGGATTTCTTCGATTTTTGACAAACCTTCTACTGGCGCTTCGAACGTACCACCAGGGCTCCGGACATTTGGCCCAAAGCCATAGTTTGCAGAAGACAGGCCATAACCTTGGTTCCAGCCCAGCGGTTCCCGCGATGTGACACCTCCGCTGACTGCTTGTGGGCCAGTAGCACTGCCGGAAAAGGCCTCTGAGCGGCTTTCATCAGGTTTTCTGCCTTTCACCGGCGCGGTGCCACCACGGTCTGCGTTGACGTGATAAAGTGCCTCGCCGGACAGGAATGCGCGCATAAGGACAAAGGCACATCCGAGAATGAAGGTCGCAAGAGCTGCGATGATCGTGCTCGGGATGATTTTGGGAGAATAGGGTTCCAAAGGAACGCTCGCCCGGGAAATTATCCTCGCATCAGCAGGCAGAACCTGTGCTCGCAGACGCGAATCCGCTTCCTGAAAGCTCAACATGAGCTGATCAAGCTGGGCGGCCTTTGCATTTGCTTCGCGCTCCAGTTCGCTCAATCGGGCCTGATCTGCATTGCTTCTGGCCGCAGCAACCTTCAGCTCGTCAAGTCGCGCTTCCAGGGCAAGTGCCTGCTGATTGGCAACCTTCGCGTCGCTCTCCAGTCCCTGCAAGATCTTGCTGGCTTCCGACCGGATCTGCCGGTCGTAGTCCGCCAACTGCGATTGCAACGACCGCAATTGCGGATGGTTCGGCAACAAGGTGATCGACAATTCTGCAATATTCGACTGGATCTCGACCTGGCGCTCCCGAAGCCGCTGAATCAGCGTGGAATTGAGAACGTCACTGGCTGTTTCCAGCGACCCGCCCGAGTTCAACAGTTCCCGCAGCAGAGCCGCCTTGGCCTGCGACTCCGCTTTCGACGCCTGCGCCGCCGAATAGTCACTGCTTGTTTCGGCAAGCTGCTGCTGGCTCAAAGGAATGTTGTCCGCGCCGATCAGGAGATCCGCACGTGCGCGAAAATCTGCCACCGCCTGCCTTGCAGCCTGGACTTCCTTGCGCAATTCGGCAATCTGCGGCTCGAGCGCGGCCGACGCCAGTTCCGTCGATTGCCGCTTGGCGCTTGATTGCAGCGAAAGGTATTCATCCACGATCGTGTTGGCGACTTTCGCAGCCAGAACAGGATTTTGTGCGGAATAACCTACGGAAATCACGCGTGATCCATCGACCTGGAAGATATCCAGATTTTCGTAAAAATGCTTGAGAACCCGCTCTTCCACGCTGTTGCCAGCCGCGTTGCTTTTCAAGCCGATGCTTGTCAGCAGGTTTCCGATCAAGGAACCATTGCCGTTTGCATCAAATTCGGGAATTGCGGCCAGATCCAGTTTCTTGGCAACACGGCGCGCCAGATCTGCAGACATCAGCAACTGAACCTGGCTGGCAACGCCCTCCTGGTCGAGCACCGCCCTTTCCTCTTCGATGCCACGTGACGCACCGGAAAAGGTGTTGTCGGTGATTTCGATCTGAACGCTTGCTTCACTCTTGTATTTCGGAGCAACGAATTGCAGCCCCAGGAAAACGGCAGCGGCAACAATCAGAGTGAGCGGCAGCAGCCAGCCCAGCGAACGGCCAATGGTCCGAAGCAGCCCGCCAAGGTCCAATGCCATGTCATCTTCGGGATATGTCTGCCGCTCTGCATTCATTGCGTTTAATCTCCACGTTCCGGCAAACTATGTCGAATTAGGGTAAGCGATCGGTTAAACCACGCGCAATTGCATGTTCACTTGCGTTAATAATTTCCCCAGCGGTCTCCGACACACCGTATCGACAGGAAAAGTCTCTTCACCCTCAATTAACCATAACACGCGATGCTGTCCGGGAATTGTAGGAGAGTCGACGATGCGAAGGAGAGCGCTTCTTGTCCTGGGCTTGTGCCTGGGCCTTGCTGCGTGCAGTGGATACAGACAGCCCCCAACAGCGTTTCATGAAACGCTGACGGAACCATATCGTCTGGATTCGAGCGACCGGCTGCGCATCATTGTGTTTGGCCAGGAAGACCTTTCCAACACCTATGTTGTTGATCAAGCAGGTTATATTTCCTTTCCATTGATTGGCAGCGTTGCCGCCAGAGGCCAGACACAACAGGGTCTGGCCGCCGAGATTGGTGCCAAATTACGGCAAGGATATATCCGCAATCCGGATGTCTCGGTGGAAGTTGATACCTACAGGCCGATCTTCATCATGGGCGAGGTGCAAAGTGCGGGCCAATACAACTATGTTGCCGGCATGACCGTCCAGAACGCAATCGCCACCGCCGGCGGTTTCAGCTCCAGGGCACAGCAATCCAGCGTCGACATCACCCGCCAGATTAATGGTGAAATTCTAAACGGCCGTGTTCCCATTTCGGACCCGATCCGGCCCGGTGACACGATTTACGTCCGGGAACGCTACTTCTAGAGATCCGCAAATTAACGTAGGACTCATCTCCGTTTGTTAGGGTGCAGCCTCAATGCCTCACGGGTTCAACAAGAAACCCGGGGGTAAAAACAGGGAAATTGCACCATGACAACGACCCCCTTGCGGATCGTGCATTGTGTCCGTTCGCCTATCGGTGGCATTTTTCGCCATATTCGCGATCTGGCGACCGCGCAGTCGGAAGCAGGACACAATGTCGGAGTGATCTGCGACAGCAGTACGGGCAGTGAATACGACAACAGGCTTGTTGAGGAACTGAGGCCACACCTTTCTCTTGGTCTGGCACGCTTTCCAATGCAACGTCAGCTGACCTTTCAGGATTTGTCCGCGACACTGGCACTTTACCGTCATGTCCGCGACCTCAAGCCGGATGTCCTGCACGGGCACGGAGCCAAGGGGGGCGCGTATGCCCGCCTGATCGGCACAACGTTGAGATTGCGCGGAAACAAGGTCTCGCGGGTCTATTGTCCGCATGGTGGCAGCCTGCATTATGACCCCAACCGTTTCGAAGGCCGCGTCTACCACCTGCTGGAGGGGATTCTCGGTCGCCTGACGGACGGGATCGTTTTCGTGTCCGACTATGAGGCAGCCGCCTATGAAAGCAAGGTCGGACGCCCCAAAGCCCAAACGCGCATGGTCTATAACGGCTTGACCCCGGAGGAGTTCAACCCGCTCGAGGTGGGCACGGACGCCGCCGACTTTCTCTATATCGGCATGCTGCGCGATCTGAAGGGACCGGACCTCTTTATCGAGGCGCTTTACAATATCCGTCTGAAGACCGGCATCGCCCCGAGCGCGCATATTGTCGGTGAAGGGCCGGACGAAGCCAGATATCACAAGATGGTCGCCTCTCTCGGCCTAGAAAAAGCGATCTCCTTTCACGGCGCCCTTCCCGCCCGCGAAGCATTCAAACTCGCCAAAACCGTCGTCGTTCCCTCGCGGGCAGAAGCGATGCCCTACATTATTCTGGAAACCGTCGCAGCCCAGCGTCCGCTCATCGCAACCCGCGTCGGTGGCGTACCGGAAATCTTCGGCCGCTATGCCGATCGCCTGATCGAACCAGGTCATATCGGCAAGCTCACGGTTGCCATGGAAACTGCACTTACTGCTCCGGAAAGAATGAGTTCGGATGCCAAAGAGCTGCGCAGTTGTCTGGCGGAAACATTCTCGGTCGAGCTCATGAGCGATCGCATCACGACGCTTTACCAGGAGCTAAGGGGTCTCGCACCTGGAGAACCCTCCACTGCGGGAGCAAACAAGGCCACCAGCTCCCGTCCGCGAACCCAGTCCGTTTACGCCAGATCGAGCAACCGATAATGAACACCCCAGCTTTCAAGTCTGCAGAGATCGCCGAGCAACACCCGGTTGACGATCAGCAGCCCGATCTGCGGCAGAACCTGGAAAGACAGTTCCGGCACAGCGTCGATGATGCCATCGGGCCACAGAATTTCCACACGCTGCCGTCGGCCAGCAGCGGTCTGTCTGCCGGAGCGCTACAGCTGGCTCAGAGCCTGGGTGGCAAAGGCGTATCGGTTCCTGTCCTGACGGGTTTCGTGCGATTGGCGGATATTCTTTTGATCGTTGCAGGCGCAGCGCTTGCCACGGTCAGCGGGGGTGAACCTTTCGCCGCCGGCTGGGCTCATGTCTTTTCGACATGCGCAGCAGTTCTGGTCACGCTTGCATTCTTCCAGGCCGCCGATGTCTACCAGGTCACGGTGATGCGCCAGGGGCTGTCACAGCTGGGCCGTGTGGCTGCCGGCTGGACACTGGTGTTTGCCATGTTCGCACTTCTGCGCTCGACGACCGGGATCGGTACCGGACTTTCGGATGCCTGTATCGGCTCCTGGTTCGCGCTGGGACTTGCGGGTCTGTGCCTGTCACGATTTGCGGTTTATTCGCTCGTCCGAAGCTGGATGAATACCGGCCGCCTGGAACGGCGGGCCATCATCGTCGGCGGCGGGACTGCTGCTGCGGAACTCATTCACGAGCTGGAAGCACAACCGGACAACGACATCCGTATCTGCGGGATATTCGACGACCGGTCCAACGACCGCTCTCCACCTGTGGTCGCCGGCTATCCAAAACTTGGAAACATCAGCGCGCTGGTCGAATTCGCACGGCTTGCCCGCATCGACATGCTGATCGTCTGTATTCCACTTCGCGCCGAGAAAAGGGTGCTGGAACTTCTGAAGAAACTGTGGATCCTGCCCGTCGACATCCGGCTTTCCGCCCATACCGACAAGGTAAGATTCCGCAATCGCGGTGCCTCCCTCATCGGAACCGTTCCGTTCGTTGATGTCGTTGAAAAACCGATAGCCGACTGGGACATGGTCGCGAAACGGATCTTTGATCTGGTTTTCGCTTCGCTCGCGATCGTCACGCTGTTTCCCGTGATGATCGCCGCCGCGATCGCAATCAAGCTCGACAGCAAGGGACCGGTCCTCTTCCGGCAGAAACGATACGGCTTCAACAACGAAATCATCGACGTCCTGAAGTTCCGGTCGATGTACACGGACATGTCGGATCCCGACGCCAAGCAGGTCGTCACCAAGGGTGATCCGCGCGTGACTAAAGTGGGCCGGTTCATCCGCAAGACTTCCATCGATGAATTGCCGCAACTCTTCAACGTCCTGGCCGGGAGTCTTTCGCTGGTCGGGCCCCGCCCTCATGCGGTCAACGCTCATACGGACAACGCGACCTGGGACGATGTGGTCGATGGCTATTTCGCGCGTCACAAGGTCAAGCCGGGTGTCACCGGGTGGGCGCAGATCAACGGCTGGAGAGGCGAAGTCGACACTCCGGAAAAGATCCAGAAACGTGTGGAATGCGATGTCTACTACATCGAGAACTGGTCCATCCTGTTCGATCTCAGGATCCTGTTCCTGACGCCCTTCCGCCTCCTCAACACGGAAAATGCCTATTGAGTGTCGCCGGCGGACATCCCGGCGATGTGCTGCGCGCACATGCGCCGATCGGTCTGCCGGTCAAAAGTCTTGGCAACGGCGCGCTCTGGCTGGCAGCCTTTCTCTCCGGATTCGTGATCGAGGAGCCGGCTCCCTATGAACTCTACATGGCGCTTCTGTGTGTGGTCTGGCTGGCCTGCGGCCTGAGGCTTCGCCGGGAATTCGGGCCGCTGATCATCTGCCTGATGCTGTTTGTCACCGGCGGCCTTGCCTCCGTTCCACTGGCCAACGAGTTTGGCGAGGCGGCCATGTATATCGCGGTGACCGGATTTCTTGCCATCACCTCGATATTCTATGCAGCGATCCTGGCAGACGATCCCGGACGATTCCGCATCATTCAGAACGGCTACACGATCAGTGCGGTCTTTGTCTCCGCCATCGGAATTGCGGGGTATTTTCACCTTTTTCCGGGTGCAGAATATTTCACGCTTTACGACAGGGCCCGCGGCACGTTCCAGGATCCGAATGTCTTCGGACCGTTTCTGGTTCTGCCTGCCCTGCTGCTGATCCAGACATTGCTGCGAAATTCTGTCCTGAAAAACCTTCACCTTCTTTTGCCTCTGACGGTCCTGTTGCTCGGAATTTTTCTGAGCTTTTCCAGAGGTGCCTGGGGGGTGCTCTTTGCCGGCGTGCTTGTCGTTTATTTCCTTGCCCTGGTGACGGAGCAAAGCAACCGGCGCCGGACGCGTCTGGTAATGCTGGGGATTGCCGGTGTGCTGGCTGTGTTCGCACTGCTGGCAGCGGCGCTGTCAATCGACACGGTCGCGGCGATGTTCGAGCAGCGCGCGCGCCTGGTTCAGGACTACGACAGTTCGCGCCTTGGCCGTTTCGCACGCTATGCGCTCGGCTTTCAACTCGTCATGGAACACCCGCTCGGGCTCGGACCACTTGGCTTTCGCAACTACTTCCCCGAAGATACCCACAACGTTTATCTCAAGGGGTTCACGACCTACGGCTGGTTGGGCGGAACCGCCTATATCGCGCTGGCGCTCTGGACAATCTGCGCGATGGTTCCACTTCTGTTCAAGTCCCGTCCGTGGACCGCCTTCACACAGAGCGTTTTTGCCGTTCTTGTCGCTCACCTGATCCTGTCTGCCATCATCGACACGGACCGCTGGCGTCACATGTACATGCTCTACGGTCTTGCCTGGGGGATGATTGCCACCGACAGGATCGAACGACGACGCTTTCGCCTTTCCGGGATCAAATATCAAAAAGGACGGGCAAGTGCCGATTGAGCACACAACAAGCCGCTTGCGCTCTCAAGACGAACAAGCTAGGTAGGACCCGTTCGGGCAGTAGCGCAGCCTGGTAGCGCACTTCACTGGGGGTGAAGGGGTCGTCGGTTCAAATCCGGCCTGCCCGACCAACAATTTCAAATTGCGATGAGTTGCATCCATGTGACACGGGCTCTCCTGCCCTATACTTCACTCATGACCCGTGAAGATAACCCAAGATTTCTCTCTTAAGTAATCAGCACAACTTTTTCCAGCCGTGCTGGTGGGGAACATTTTTCGAATTTACTCATAAATATTCTCTAAAAATATACTGATGTAAAACTCATTTTTTTAAAACTTACTTTGTTTCACTCGCAATGGAAGCATTATTGCATTATTTAGATGATGTATTTATATTAGAATAACGCTCTAATCTTAAACTATCTCATTATTTTTTTGCTTATCAAACGTAGAAATATGTCAATGCCAATCTCCGCTTCACCTTCACTGGAAACATCTAATTCATCCTCAATCTTGACCAGATTTTCCGGAAAACTAAGTACCAAATTGAATCTGTTAAACTCAAAACTCAGTCTATCCAGGCTTGGGTTTTGCTTACGTTTTTCCAGGCCAGCAAAAATGATATCTCGGGTTTTTGGCGTTAGTTCCTGAGCCAGAAATTGATCTATAGGACTGCTCATTTTAATGTTCTCCTAGAATGGAAATGCAGTTTGAATGATACCTCGTCTGATGTGAACGCAAATTTTTTACGAATTAATACTATCAAAATTATTTATAATATATTTTATGAAATCCAATTTACTACTGTAATTATCTTAGATTATGCTTGATTTTTTCACCCTTCCATGGGTATCGCCACTATACTGCTTAACGTAGCCTGCACTTGTATTGAGTGCACCCATTCTGACTTTTTCGAAGCCTGAATTAGCGCCACGCCGAAACATAATGTGCTCGGCTCCAATCATCAGGCCTCCTAACCGCTTTTACCGACCAACGCACACTGCAAGTCCCGCGTTGATGACCGGCGGGTGCTCAATAGCATGAATCATGTCCCCAATTCGGGTTGTTACTGGCTCGATGCGTCGGATGTCTATGGGCTGAGAAAACCCTTTACAATCTTTCGTTCGTTGATCAGAGAAGAGTGTCTGGACAACGGTTGTCGACATGCTGTCCCAAACCGGAAAGACAGTGCTTGAAGTTATGATCGACAACAGGTCCGTTCAGGTACACCGGGTTTCTCACGGCGGCGAACGAAAGACTCAAGCCCATGCCCCGGGCCGAATTCGTGTTGGCTCGGGAATCAAAACCCGCGCCTGAACGACAACAAGGACGGAAACGTCAACAAGGGGATGTTCGGCAGGCTCAAAGAGTCCGGAAGGATTGCAACGCGTTATGTTCAAAGCGCGACAAACTATCTATCTGCCGTCGGCGTCGCCGCAATAGTCTGCTACTGGTTAGGGTCCAATAGCCTAGTCCAATAGTGGTACAACATACATTCTTCCACTTCTTACTTCGACGGAGACCTTTTCTCCAGGGCTACATTCCCAGATTTCGCCTGATGCCGCGGAAAAGTACTCATCGGGTAGAACTATTGACTCAGAATAATCGGACTGTTCGACGTAGCAAGGACGCCATACATCCATTTCTTCATTCAATAATCTTACATATGCTTTTACGCGGTCAGTCATAGACGAACCCATTCCGGCTTACCTGGAATTTTGTGCCAGTAACAATGCAAATTCCCACAGTTTCACCAGTCCTTGACCAAACTAACGGGTAGGTGGACCGTTTTTTTGCCAAACGCTGGTATTTCTTCTGTCGTCGGCGCCTCTGGCACCATCTCTTTTGTCCAGCAGCGTTTCTTCATACGTGATGCGGTTTTCGCAGAAATTTCCATGTCGCCTTCAAACCCGGCCTGCCCGGCCAAGAATACTGCAGTCTTGATCCTGCAAGTTTCTCCTTGACACGTTTGGCATGTTAAAAATATCAATCCCTGATTGAAGAACAGGGGCAATGCAAATGCGTTTACAGGGACTAGTTATTGGTGCTGCACTTTCCATCATGGCTTTTGGAGCACAGGCGGCGCCGATCACTTACCAGTTCACGGCTGAAATATTCAGCGTTACCGATGACATTGGTCTTTTCGACGCCGTCAAAACCAGAGATGTCGTGACCGGTCAATTTGCGATCGATCCATCTGATACAGCCAGCGCCATTTTTTCAGATTCAAGTCTCTACTTTTCTCCAAATGCATTTGTCTTGGCGACTGTTGAGGGCATCACGATGTCAAAGAAAGGAAGCTTGATACAGGTAACTAACGATTCCCCTGTCTCTTACGATAGTTTTGATCTGTCTGGTTCCGGTGCTGGAGATGCCGGCACAGGATTGGGGTACCGCTACTCGTCCGTAGGCGTATATTTCAGGAATGCAACAAACACCGAAACGTTTACATCATTATCCATTCCCGCGCACTTGTCCCTTTTGGATTTTGAAGGTCACAGAGACTTTGCGGGTTTTTCCTTTAGCGGCTTCTTGTCAGAGACAGATTTCGACAAGAGGGACGGCTTTACAGCCCATATAACTTCGCTTGAACGCGTCGCTCTCGTTCCGCTCCCTGCCGGACTGCCGCTGCTGGCCGCAGGTGTCGGGCTATTCGGCCTGGTTGGATGGCGCCGACAACGGGTATCCGGGAGTTAACGCGCCTAAATGAAGACCTTGGAACCCGCTCATCGTTTTTTCGCGAAGAGCGGGTTTTGACAGCACCAGTCTGCTCGTCAAACGCAATTTTTCATTTATGCCGCGCATGTGGAACCCGTGATTACAGCGTTTCGCGGGAGAAAATCCAATTTCGACACCAACAACAAATATCGGCTAAACGCCAACGCCTGCCCTGCCAACCGCAATATTTTGGGTTGCCAAGGTATTCTCAGTCACCGATGACAATGACGCACACCGCATCGCAGGCAACGACTATTTCGTGCAGCGCATTGTTGGAAGGATGTAAGGTGTTGTTGCGGTACTTCGACCGCGATCTGAACAAAGCCGCGAGATCTTGAAGACACTCGTTTCGATCAGCGATCTTACTCTCTCACCCCTGCCCGGCGACCAGCCGTGCTCGGCAATAAGCCGTTGCGGAACGTCATGGACGATCCCTGGCATTGTTCTCGAGGGAGCCTGGTCATTTGGAAGCGAGGTTCTGGTCAGTACAACGGAAGACATTCCTTATGAAGAGGCCCTGCATTTCTGTCTCCTTGGCGCAGACGGCAAGGTTCTGGATCAAATACGGCTGGGCGGCATCTATCAGACAGGTATGTTCGCCCTTCTGAAGACCGGATCCGCAACGATCAGGTTTCGGTTTTTCAACCATGCAGCCCATGAGCTTACCGTGAGCGAACAACCTGTCTGGCGGATGCCATTCTTCGGCGACCCCAAGGGGGTCGGTCGCTCCGTCGGCTTTTCAAAACGTCTTTTGGTAGATCGCTCCGAAACCTGAGCCCGCCGTTTCCGCGGTTGCCAAAAACCACTCATGCCAATAGGTTCTTCTTTGCGCACAATAATTTAGCGCGCGCCGCGGGGCGATGTTTGGTGGCGATGAAAGTAAAATCCAGATTTCCGATCACAATCAGCCTGTTCACCGTGACGTTGAGCGTGGCCCTGGCCCTTGCTGCGACAATCATATCCTATACCCATTTTGCCAACCGGACCGCAGCCCTGACGGCTGGGCGCGAGCTCATGGAACGGTCCGCCGAGGTCGTCCGCCTGCGTACCGGGTCGCTGATCGCACCGATCGACGCCATCGCACAATACTCCGGAGACTGGCTGGACGTGACAGCCGTTCCAAAAGCCAGCGGCCACCCCGCCCGCAAGCGTCTGATCTCGTTCCTGTCCGCCATGCCGCAGATTGCGAATATCTATATCGGCTACGATGACGGCAGCAACTACCTGATCGGCGCGGCCCGCACGCGGTCCAAAGACCAGCTGAAAGAAAAAGGCGCACCGCAGGAAACGTCCGTTCTTGAACAGATAATCCTGCGCGGTGACAGAAAGAGACCCATCCGCATCGAGCGATTTCTGGACGAATACGGCGACACGCTGTCGTCAAATTCCAGTCACGAAATTTCATATGATCCAAGGGAACGGCCCTGGTACCAACTGGCGCTCGAAAGCCCGCACGTGGCGCGCACCGACGTTTATATTTTCGCAGGCTCCAAGGAGCCCGGTTTCACGGTGAGCAAGCGGCACGCAAATGGTGTCGTGGGTGTCGACATCACGCTTGCCGACATCGACCTGTTTCTCGATTCCGAACCCCAGGCGGAGGCAGGAGTGCTTGCGATCATCAACGAGGACGGCACACTTCTGGCAAACTCGTCAATCGGCGACGGCAGCATGTCGGGAGATGACCGAAAGGCGGCCCTGTCAGCGCTTCGCAAGCAGGCTCTCAACCCCGACCACGACAAGGTCAGGACGATCGATGTGAACGGTCATCCCTGGATCACACACCTGTCTGCCATCGAACTCGGTGCCGGTACGCAGGAAAATCTGGCGATCGCCCTTCCCCTCCGGGAGGTTGTCGGCGACATCACCCGCGCGTCTCAGCGTACAATCGCAGTGTCCGTCTTCATTGCGCTTTGCAGCATCCCGCTGGTCTGGCTCGTCTCCCGGTCGCTGTCACGTCCGCTCAAGGTTCTTGCAGCGGGCACGCAGCGGATCCGGAACTTCGATCTCGATCAGCCTTTTCCGCGATCCTCGATCATTGACGAAATCTTCAAGCTGGAAACCGCGCTGGATCAGATGCGCACGTCGCTTCAGACTTTCGGCAGATATGTGCCGAACGCCCTGGTCCATCAGATGATCGAGCGCCAGGAAACGCCGGAGCCAGGAGGCGAAAGGCGTGACATCACGGTTCTGTTCATGGATCTGGAGAACTTCACCGCCATGTCTTCCCGGCTTCAGCCAGAGGAAGTCATGAACCGCATGTCCCGATACTTTGAAATTGTCACGCAGACCCTCCTGGCGCATGACGCAACCATCGACAAGTATATAGGCGATGCCGTCATGGCGTTCTGGAACGCGCCGAACAGCGTCGAAGACCACCCGGCAAAGGCGTGCCGGGCGGCGCTTGCCGTTATCGAGGCCTGCAAGGCCGAAACAGACTCATGGTCCGGCGAAGGACTGCCGCAGGTGCGAACCCGAATTGGTTTGCACACAGGAGATGCCATTGTTGGCAATGTCGGCAGCTCGGACCGATTGAACTACACAGCGCTTGGCGACACGGTCAACCTTGCTTCCAGGCTTGAGGCACACAACCGGCAAACCAAAACCAGCATCCTGATCAGCCCGGATCTCGCCAGACGCGTTGAAGGAGCCTTTTCCATCAGGTCGGTCGGTGAAGCGAAGATCAAGGGTTACGACAAAGCTGTGAGCGTCTTCGAACTCAGGTCATGAAGTCAGCAGCCGGACCGTCACTCCGAAAACAATGCCTTCAGACAGAAAATCTTTTTGCTTTTCTTCAGATTTTTGTTCGCGTCCCGAGATGAACGATACAGCTTCCGCCGAAGCCAAGGAAGCTGGTGACGGTTATGCGCCAACCCGTCTTTAACAAGCAGGTAATGTGCGATGTACCGGTTCATGTGTTTCCTTCCGAGAAGAAAGACAATGCACAGAGCGCAGCTTTTCAACAATTTCAGGATTTGAAGGCAAAGACCATGTTTTCGAGCCCAGCCAAGTGCCCGGAAAGGCAAAAAAAGAAAGCCTCGCAAATCCGGTTTCAATAGATTTGCGAGGCCAGTCAGGTTGCAAAGGCTACGCAACCATGCGCCTCCATAACGTAGGGGAACACAGCTGTAAATGACGGCGATGAGCATTCCGGTACGGAAGGAAAAAGTATGCGAACAAACCACATCCAACCGTTCGTGACAGGGTTCTTTTTTCCAGTCAAACCCGAGTGTTTTCAGTAGACACGAGGCGGCGCTTCACTTGAGCTTCACGATGCAAGTATCTGTGCACAAGTGTCTTTCAGGTCGATTTCGACGCAATTAATTGGCCCCTTTGCATGGGTTTCGGATTATTGCGCGAAATATAGCACCTCATGCAACCTTGAGAAAAAATCAACTTTCGCCGCTCAGATCCGCCAGTCGGTGAAAACGGTCTGCAGCATCTCCATAAACGGCAAATCCAACACAAACGAAAACCCGCCCGCAACGTTGGCAGCGGACGGGCTCAAAACCAGGTTCAGAGTGTTGCGTCAGGCTTCTTCGCGTCGGCGCCATCCAAAGAAGCCGAGGACCGCGAGACCCGCGCCCAACAGCGGGAGCGCCGCAGGAACAGGCACCGGTGTCACACGAACGGCGTCGAGGTCAAACCCGCCGGTCGACCTGCCCCGCGTCGGAGACGTATCCAGAATACGGACGGTATTGAATGTCCCTGCAAGTCCGATCGGAACCATGCCGCCGCCCTGAGCAGCCGCGTTGGAAATGCTACCGATAGAAGTGAAATCAATGCCATCACCTACGAATACTTCCACCGATTCCGGCCAGCTCGAAACAGTTCCGAAAGTGACTTCGAACAATTTGACGCTCGTGTCGAACACTGCGCCGAAAGTAAGATCGATGTAGCTACCGAAACCGATTTCGAAAAAACTATCGTCGGCAGCGCCGAGCGCGTTCAAGGCATTGCCGCGATTGTTTGAAGTACCGCGCGCCGCATTCTTGTCGTAGGTGATCGTCGTGGCATAGCCATCAGCGAAGCCACCTGTGCCAACTGTTTCCCAATCAGGAGTGACGGGCGCAGCTGATACAGCCAATGTGCTCACAAGGAACAATGTGGCCGTCAGGGTGGAGCGTGCATATCCAAACATCAAATTTCTCAATCTTTATCGTAACTTAATTGAAGCAGTTGTCCGCATTGCTGGTAGCGTGTTCGTTGCAATTGTGTCAATAGCGTTCATGCATTCTTAACCGTGGCTGACAGCCTTTCCAATGTTCTGGTTAATACAGGAAGACCTTGCCGATTGTCAGGAACGACGACGGACAACCAGGGCTGAGGCCCACATCGTCCGCCAGTTGGAACCCAGGCAATGTTCGTGTCCGGGTGTCGTCACCGCCGTTCAAATTCCATCATCTTCGCCAGGACATGCAGCTACTCCAAGCTGTGACTTGAAATTTTTCAAGCTTGCACCACAATATGGAAACGGTGTTTCAACAGGCAGCTTCCCGCACGGGCATTTGCAGTGACCGCCTTGAAAACAATTGTTAGTTTTCCTGATGCATTAATTGCCGCGACCATAAGCTACGTGCAATCGGCGCGGCGAGACTGTAACTGGACCGGGAAACATATGTCACCGATAGAAGACCTGCGTGATGAACTGATCGGGAAATATGCGCGCATAGCGAACACGGTGCAGGCATATTTCAGCGACGACGACCTGCTGATCGACCTGCGCAAGCAGCTCGATACGCTGTTGAAAAGCAGAAACGAGACGCTTTCGATGGAAGTATACACGCTCGTCGTTTTGCGCGCCTTTCGAACACTCCGGGGGGCGTGAAGGTTTGACCGATCTGCAAACGTTTCTGGACAATGAGGCGGATGCCTATGCGGACATGTTCGAAGGTGGATATGTTATCAGGGGATTTATCCGATCGATCATAGAAGGATATGATGGGAAATCGGATTGGCGGGAGTTTACTCCCGAAGAACGTAGCGAGATTATTCTGAACTGCCACAGGATAGTGGAACTCCTGCGGCAGGCCGAAGAAGGATGAGGAAGGAAGATGCACATCAAGCGCGTTGACCCAGCCAACATGACAGGACTGGCTGGTCAGCACATACAGGAACTTGATGCATATCTGCGGCAGACAGACGGCACGTTCCGTCCAGACATGCCGCAATTCAATCGCGTAGTCTTTACGTCGATCAAGGCAAGTGGCGACCATATCCCGCAAATCGGTTACGTCGGCAAAAACAGCTATATCAAGGAAGTGATGGAGGGTCAGTTCGGCAGCGACTTCGCTTCCGCCATCCGAAATCAGGACCCTCAGTTCGATCAGGCAGTCGCCGGTGGTTTCGCCAGGGCTGCCCAGGGTGACCGTGTCTTTGAACTGGTCGAAATGGAAGTCACACCGCCAGGCGCACTCACGAATATCCCGGTCAGCTACTACCGCCTGATTGAGCGGCTCTGGCTGGGTACGCCTCAACCGGTACTGGTCAATCTAACTCTTCCAACGTCAGCCCAGTTCCATGAGCATCTATTTTTGCTAGATAGAGCACATCTGACGGCCAATTGAACAGGAACATGTCATCCTGCTTCCGGTCGGCCGGCGGGTTCACCCATCTTGTTGCATAAGGATAACGGTGAAACGCGCCGTAAACATCTCCAAGCGATTTTCGAATCCTGTCGGCCCGCGCCAGTCCCACGCAAACCGCGGCATCCTTCCAGGTTGCCAGACCAAGGTAAAGGTTCATCCTGGCAATGAGTGCAAGCCGTTCAAGCGACACTTTCGCCGACCCGAAGCCCGATACATTCAGCGCGTCGCCTGAGTATATGACCTTGCCCTGGATCTCTTCCATCGGCGGGCAGACCCAGGAATGGTCGACCTTATACGCGTCCCCGTAGATCCTTGACAGTTGCAGGCGGTGGTATTCAAGGTAGTTCATACCACCTGTGTCAAAGAGCTGACTGCAATAGAAGGAAACAGGTTCCTCGCCCGCAAACGCGACGTGGCAGAAACCGTTGTGGCCGTTGAAATCAAAAAACCTTGTCTGAAAAAACGGGGTCACATCCTTGCCGCAGGCTTCCAGCGTCGGAACCACTTCACGGAAGTCGCGCAGCACACGGACAGAACACCCAAGCGCATAGAGCCTGGTTCGACAGGCGGAATACGCATTGAACAAAATAGAAACGTCTTCAGGTCCCAAGGAACCCCCCATTACGCCACGTCGAAAGTCCGAATAGATGCGGTCAGTGAGAAATGAACTGGATGATCTTCCTACCGGTCACCGGCGAAACCCTAACTCCTGAAACCTATCAATCCGGCGATTTGGCTATTCCAGGCACCACGCGATCACTATTATTCGCTATCAGTTATTTTGCCTAGAAAAAATCGTACAATTTACCATAAATTGGAGCTTAACTGGATAACAGAACCCCACCAATTCCAGTAAAATTTTAATTAAAGTTTGAACAAATGGCCGCCGGTGAGTGCGCAGATTGAAAAATGTGCCTTACACAACCTTCTCAACCTGTAATATACTATATTTGATTGTATATTTGGATGTATTTGAGCGGAACGGTTAACCGACCAATCAGTGTAACTGGTTCGCATCGTTCGTTCTTTTTAACGTTGCTGGGAAATTACTGGTGAAAGCAAGCCGGTTCAGACCTTCGCTTCAAACCGTCAGGTGTCAGAAGCCGCAACAAGTGTGACAGCCAAAACGAAGAACGTTATGCGGCGCGAACGCTTGTCTGTTTCACTTTTCCAATGAATTCGGACAGCCAGGCAATCTCCCTGAAGTAGACTTCCATGCTGAGGGACGCAAGTTCCATAAGCAGTTTTTGCGGGTCAGGATTTTCGAACCCGGTTTGCTGAAGAAAGATCTCGTATTCCTTCCTGTAAGCCTCTGGTATCCGCATTCCCGCCTCGTAGACTCCGTTCGTTCCGTCACGGCGGAGCGCTCGGCGCCGCCTAAAGACATCGTCGGAGATTTCCGTTTCCTTTGGGTATCGTCATTCTTCTCCTTTCCTCGCTATCCCCAACTCAACATAGCCAAAATTCGAAAATTGCAGAAAAAAGCAGGAAACCGACCATTTATCGCACCGTCCCCCTTGCGCTTGACGCGGTAAATCTTCGACGCTGACAGGAATCACAATTCCAGACGAACCAACGTCCCGCAACGAGCCCTTCATGAGCCAGTCCACAGCCCCTTCGTTCAATCCCCTGTCGGGTTCATTCGCGCAAGACCCGCACCCCTTCTACGCGGCATTGCGGGCGCAACCGGGACTGACATATTTTGAAAATTTCGATGTCTGGCTGGCAGCCCGGTTCGAAGACGTTTCGCAAATCGTCATGCACGACAAGATGGTCCGTTCCATGGAGCAAGTTGCGAGCGCGGAAGAAATCGATATCCAGAAACGGGCAGGCAATTGGCACGACATGCCGCATCATGCCCGCTTCGTACAATTTTCCCTGCTCGACAGCGACGGGGAAATCCACGACAGACTGCGCAAGCAGGTTTTCAAGCTGTTCACACCCGTGATGGTCAACAAGCTACGCAGTGAAATCCAGGCTTATGTCGAAAACCTTGTAGAAGGCCTGTCTGACAGGCCGGTCATCGATTTCGTGGAGGATCTGGCCGCCCATGTCCCCGGGCACATTATTGGCCGCATTCTGGGTGTACCCGACGAGGACTGTCCGCAATTGCGTGTCTGGTCAGAAAACATCGTCCAGTTC